TGTAGAAGTAATATAACGTAAATGCGTCTGTCGTCTGGACAAGAGAGTTTGTTGGTGTTGTCATGTTTCCGTTCCCTGACGCTGATTCCCGTTTATCTCCAGATCGAGGGTGGGCTTAATTGAAACCCACCGGTAGCTCGGAGCCGGTGGATACCCAACAGAGGTCAATATAGGAGTGATGGCGATGATTCGTCATGATTAATCGACTCTACTCTACCTCGTGGGCCGAGGCCCCCAAACCCATCTCGGGTCGGAGTGTAACCGACCACAACAACAGTTGTTAGAGGCGCCAGTGCTATACCCTGGGACAGGCCTTGGAATTATGGTCCACAGTGTGGTTGTATGTGTTTTTTTTACCAGTGTGTTTTATAAGAAATAAATCAATGAAGACATGTTATGGTTTCACCCTTCTTTACCCTTATCGATCTGATCAATGGAAAACCTAACCCAATGCCTAGTCCGCTCTGCCCGCTACCTAACGAGCTACATGCTGTCCAGAGGGGGTCTGGTGGCAGCGACCCTTAGACATTAAGATTAGAGTTAAGTTATCCCTTAGATTTAGTGACCCCAGTCTGGCAGTATAATAAACATCATAGATTTTGCATTAACATACAAATTTTAGATATAATGTTTACTCTGAGTAAATATGTTATTTTTTGTGCAAAATATATGACATTTGTATTCAAAATATTCCTGGTCTTACAAGGAATCCAGCATTGTCAATTATATTATCCTAACTTTAGTTTGAGGTATTATTTATTACTAAAAAGGTAAATATTCTGGTTTTCCCACACATCTGGTAGGGACGGTTGGTGGGGGGTGGGGGGGAGGGAGGGACCGACCAACCATCTGTTACCGTGTGAAGAATATTTTTTTTTTTATTAACTGAAGATATTTGTTTTAGCTCATAAAATTCATACAAATTACCCGGTCAGAATATAATTTACATTGCTGGAATTCTTATAATTTGATGATCATTTTGAATATAAACATCATAGATTTTGCATTAGACATACAAATTTTAGATGTAATGTTTACTCTGAGTAAATATGTTATCTTTTGTGCAAAATATATGACATTTATATTCAAAATATTCCTGGTCTTACAAGGAATCCAGCAATGTCAATTATATTATCCTAACTTTAATCTGAGGTATTATTTAATACAAAATGTTAAAATTTAGTTTTTTCACCCAACATCTCTTGAAGGGAGGATTGGTGGGGGGTGGGGGGGAGGGTTGGGACGGACCGCGCGGTTGGAAGAGGGGGGGAGGCAAGGTGGGGTACTTTGATTGACAGATAGTGTCGTGAAGAATATTTTTTTTTTATTAACTGAAGATATTTGTTTTAGCTCATAAAATTCATACAAATTACCGGGCCAGAATATAATTTACATTGCTGGAATTCTTACAATTTGGTGATCATTTTGAATATAAACATCATAGATTTTGCATTAGACATACAAATTTTAGATATAATGTTTACTCTGAGTAAATATGTTATCTTTTGTGCAAAATATATGACATTTATATTCAAAATATTCCTGATCTTACAAGGAATCCAGCAATGTCAATTGTATTATCCTAACTTTAGTTTGAGGTATTATTTATTAAAATTTAGTGGTTTTCCCCCCAAAATTTCTCAGAGAGGGAAGAGCCAGCAGTGTAGTGTGAGAGGGGGAGGGAGTTGAGTCCATTATTTGAATGGACATTAACTTGGCGACTGTATTTCTCTATTTCTCTTAAGTATTAATTGTGTGCATGTACCATCATAAAATTAAGATGTTATTTTTACTAGAACATAGGTATTGTGTCGGAAAAAGTGGAGTTTGGGGGTCGGGCCAGTTTCTATTGGAATTAATCCCATATGTTCTGTTATTCACTTAGCGCGGTTTTCACCACTACCCTGGGTTTATTGACCGCGTTAAGCTTCTAATATATATGTATGTATATATATATATATATATATATATATATATATATATATATATATATATATATATATATATATATATATATATATATATATATATATATATATATATATATATATATATATATATATATATATATATATATATATATATATATATATATATATATATATATATATATATATATATATATATTAATGTTATGCAAATATGAAAAATTACTTGTCACGGCTGCTTGAAGGTTACATAGCGCCAAAGTTTGTGCCCGGGGAGGGGGGGGCAGGATTTCTTCGGGAACGTCCTCTTTTATTAATGTTCAGATATGGCCACCCTAAGTGATGCATTTTATGTTGGATTGAAAAGACTCTTGAATACCCCCAGTGTTAGTGAGAGGGGTAGTATAGTGAGATACTGGGCCAAAATAAACAATGTTCTGCTGAGTGTGGCTGGATGAAGGGCCCAGCCAAGCATGTAGCGATAAAGATGACAAGAAGATTGTATATGAACTGGAAGATTGGTGGTGACAGGGAGGAGTACCTGGAAGCCAAGTGTAGAGCCATAAAGAGGTTTACAAGGTTAACACTTAAGCCCCGAGTTAGGGTGCCGCTGGCAGTACCCCCTACGCTGGGCAATAATGCATATATTTACTGATCATAATACGTATTTGCTATAAATAAATAAATAATTCATTTATAATATTTTATTTGCATTATTTTTCATAAAAAGTGCTTGGCAGCACACACGCAGTCGGTCGCCAGGCTGTCTGGCTGTCTTTGTGTTTGGTAGAGCAATTAATGAGTAAAAAAATAATAATACCATAAATATATACATTTATAACACAATCAGAGCATTATTTTCCAGTAATACTACACTACAATACAACTACACTACTTTTAGCAATATTACAGAAGGCTCTCACATTTTGACACCCATTTAGATTGTAAAAACCTTGCGAAATTAAAATCGTCCAAATTTAAATACAATTTCCTGTGGAGAAAATTAATTTGAGTTTGGTACTTTCGATGTTTGGGTAAATTTTGCCTTATTTACCCTACTTTCTGGGCGAATTACTACTTGTAATAAAGCAACATCCTAATAAACCAACGAAAATAACACAGATAAAGTTAAATAAAAACAAAAACAACACAGAAAATGTTTTTATGTTCTACAGCTTCAGCTAAAATTGAACCTGATGACTTGGCAACTTCGTCATCCGAGTAAAAACACCCACAACAACATTGGCTGTCCTTATGTTTTCAACTGTACCACCACTGGTGGGTAGAATTTTTGTTTTAAATTCAGAAACATTAATAAAACTATATATGAATAGTAAAGTGTTGCTTTCATATTCTTATGTAGAGTAATGGCGATATGTTTTCACACGTGCGCACTTACATACGCCATCTCACTTTTTTCTTTACCATTAATGATTAGCTACTTCTATTGTTCCATTTATTAACATTGAATAACATTAAAACAACCATATTAATTTGTTTACATTAATTTTACTACAGCTACAACCAGGGTCTTATTTTCTTCAGTTTTATATGTAGAACAAGGCAGTCACTGGTTTTGTAAACATTAACGAAAACAATGCTGTCTCGTCTCTTCGTGTGTTTTAATATTCTATGTATTATTAATGAATTGTATTGTTCATTTTGCACACATAAACATTAATTCAATCAAAAGGAAATTAAATAATAAACAATAATGAATCTTTTGTACATAAGAGAAATGACGCTCTTTACACCCACCCACCCCCCTCACCCACCCGTTAAAGTGATACTGTCGTACGCAATTTCAAAGTAATTCCCATAATATTTAAGTTCATTTCAATCAATCAGAATACCGTCCTCAAATCTGAAGGTTGGCGACCACAGTCGTCTACTTTAATCATTCTCTGACTGTTTTTACCAATCCTCTAAGGTTTTGCATCTCTCTCTGTGGACCCAGTTTTTAATTTCAGTCATTCTCTACCCAGTCAATTTTGCCCATTAATATTTCTGTTATTATCTCCACATCCCTAATTATATGACCAAACTATCTTTTTTTTTTCTGTACAGTTCTCTTGAAATTTTTGCTAATCTTAGTAATTCTTTATTTGTTTTCCTGTCAGTGTAGCTTATTCTTAGCATTCGCCTGATGAAAGTGTTCACGCCTCTGACCCATAAATCAGTCCATGCCATATAAAGCCCTTCAGCAGGCCTTTTCTCAAATTGAAATTAATGTCCCTTTTCATTAGGTCTTTTAGGTTATTAAATGCTGATTTTGAATGCCCTATTCTAGTTTTGATTTCTTCCATACATCTACCATCACAGCTAATGTTACTTCCCAAATACAACAAAAAATCCACTTGTTTAAGTTCCTGTTGCCTACCATAATTTTTATTTTAGGATTTATTTCCAATTTGGAGGCAAGCATTACTTTAATCTTCACAACATTAACTCTTAAGCCATATTTTTCACCTTTTTACACTAATCTGTTTACCAGATTTTGTAATGCCTCTTCACTATCTGTGATAAGAGCAGTATCATGTGCATAGTGTATATAACTTTACCATTTACTTTTTCCTTCATTATCACATATAACTTCTTTCATTAAGAATTCTAAATACAGTATTATTATTTCCATTTAAATCAATTAATCTATAATTCGTGATTTAATAATTCACATGTCTTCTGGTACCTAACCAGCAAATTACCGTGACTCCATTGTTTTGACAAAGTTCTGCATAGAAGCAAGCTGAGATGGTTTGGGCATGTAGAGTTAGTGGATGAAATCAATTGGGTAAAGATGTGCATGAGCCTAAATGTGGAGGGGAGGAAAGCCAAGAATGACATGGGAAGAGGTTGTAAGAAATACCAGAGTTTGAAACCTGACAACAGAGACTGCAAAGACAAGCAGCATGGAGAGTAATCACCATAAAATGTTAATGTTGGTGATGATGATGATGATGATGAGTGTTATTAATTAGAAGTTTTAGGTTAATGGAATGCAAGATAAGTGAGGGTCAACCTATGTATTCATAAGTATCATTCTTTTGGATTTTGTAAGAATGCCGATCTCACCTCTCTGGCCATAGCCTGTTTGGCCTGGTGATCCCGGGAGTCCTGGGTTCCCAGGTAGACCATGTCCCGGTGCCCCAGTGGGTCCGCGGGGTCCATGTGTTCCCTCTGAGCTGTGGCCTGGATCACCAGGAGGGCCCTAAAATCATCAACATTATGTGAAATGGCTTTTAGTATGTCTTATACATTCAGTGATTCTCATAATATTTTGGATAGTCCCACATGATAACTGTGTAATACACATTGTCTGTCATTCATTTCACAGTACTGTATATTCGTGGTCTCTTACTGGTGGACCAGGAGGGCCTGGTGGTCCAGGTACTGGGATGTACATTTGATTATCGCCTGTCTGGGAGCTTTCCAGAGTCCCTGGGGGTCCTTCGGGTCCTTGGGGTCCAGGAGGCCCTGGTGATCCTGGTGGCCCAGGTGGTCCAGGAGTGCCCAAAGACACAACATCACTAGGAACCTGTGTGCCTGCAATGTCAGAGCTGCTGCTGCCCTGAAGAGAAAAATACTAATAAACAAATATCATTACCTCTTTGCACCCTAACATTTATAACCTTTGTTTTAAACTATAATGTTCCGCTATTGAGTGTACAGTATATTGAGTCAAATGTTAACTGAGCATGTATATATGGGGGGGAAGGGAAGGTATCAATCCTTTAAGAAATTGATAAATCAATCAAGGTACTGTATAACAGACCCTCAATATTGTGCAACTCAATATATTGCTTTTAAAATAGCGTGGCACCCCAAATTACTTCTATTGTGTGGTCTAACTCCATGGTATAACCGCCCACCCCCCCCCAAAAAAAAAAAAAAATTACAGTAAATGGAACACTGCATTAATCATTTGAGGACAAGTGTTTACAGTGTACAGTACATTGTTTTTTATTATGACCAAATATATTTGTGAGCAATAAAGCAAGAGGTGAGTAAAGGAGATACTGCTGCATCTGGTGGTAGTAAGTAGAAAAGGTGTGCAATTACTTTTCATGAAAATTTTTAAATAATTTCCTACAAAGTCCACGAATATACAGTATACCCTTTTACCTCTAAGCAATATGTTTTTCTTCCTATCTGTAACTGCTCAAGTTCAGTATGCAAATGGATATGATAATTCAGGGTAAAAACCGAGACATTATCACAATAATCTTAATTTAAGTCTAGCAGGGTGAGATGTTCTGAAGTGTATGTCAGTCATGTTGCTACTGTACAGTACCAGAGTTACCCTAATATTAATGCTATGAGTTGGAGTTAAGTTCTTAAGGGCTATTTACATGACATTGTTTCTCATATACATGGTACTATACTTCATATAAATTCACAGAAAATTTTGAACAAAGATTTCCAAATTAATTTTAGGGTTACTTTCTTAGAAATCATCGCGAATCATGAATTCAAGAATACTGAATTTATACCTTATGGAAAAAAATATAGTATGGTAACATGGCTACCAAGATTATCATATTTGTCATAATATTTGAGGTTAGAAATGATAAATGATTCAGAGATGATTTTGATATTTATTTAGACCTGTTTTTTGTAATAAAAACTATAAAATTTTAACAAATACCTGTAACTGTTTTCTCTACATATAATTCAAGCCTGACTATGTAAATTTACACGTAAACAGGGACTTCCCATGGGACATAAATCACTCAGGATATTGTAGTCTACTCTAGTATAACCGGTTTTTTTTCTTCTAATACAGAGCAAAATAGTAAACAATAATAATACTGTGGCTTAGAAATAAAGGAAGTACATGTATACTACAGTATAAAGCTATAAAATAAGTAAACTGAAATGCATGGGTGTAAATATATGGGAAGTGAACATATGTGTGGAAGCAGTGAGTGTTACGAGTAGAGCAGGCATGTCATTGGAAATTGTAGGGTAATAATAATACAAGGAGAGAGGAGTCCTACTGTTTACTTGTTGGCCATGTGCCTCCCCTCAACAATAACAAAAGAACATCGGGATGAGCAGCACGCTTCATTTAAACTTACATCACGTGACATCCTTCCCCTCAAGGTAAAGAATGTACTGACAAACTTTAAATAAAGAAAAAAAAAATAGAAATGCAAGATAATGATAAAAATGAAAAATCATATGTTCTATACTTCATTACATCAGTATTAATGTATAGTACGTCCTTAAGGTTAAAATCAGGGCATCTTCCTTTAAGTGAAATAGGTAGTTATTTTGTAGAATGTTACAAAAACACACTCACAAAATACAGAACCTATATAGTTAGAGCTTTCAGATCAGACCTCAGAGTCACTATGAGCAGGTAGATACAGGGTACGTCCCATTGATATAGTCAAGCTATAGATCTAGTCTCCAAGGGGTAGTCACCCCACATCCAGTTCTAGTCCTGTATTTTTCTACTACTTGAGAGCGTTCTGCTATGAAAGTTGCACCATGCTTAGACCCTACTGGTTTCCCCACAGTACTTTTTTCCTTCTTCTGTTTCGACTTCATATGTTCTGCTTTTGATCTTCTTGGTGACTGTAGCTGACTTCCACTCTCGCGTCTTGTCAATGGGCTGCAACCTGACCACCTCTCCAACTGAAAGCGATCTCAGCGATCTATGATCCTAGTGTCTCTCTGCCACAGTACTCTTCTTGTTCTGCATTAGCCATCTCTCTTTGTCCAGAAAACATTGTTTGGGCATCAGTAGGGTATCATTTGTGGGCACCAGAGTCTTTATCCTTCTCCCCATTAGACGTTGTGCAGGACTCGTGTTCAATCCCTCTTGTGGGGTGTTTCGGATGTTCAGAAGTCCTAGGTACATGTCTTCTTTGGCTTCAAGCACCGCTTCCTCATTCCCTTTACAGTCTTAACAGCTGCTTTGGCAGCTCCATTAGCCTTACTATTGCCTGGACTTGATGTCTCATGGGACATGTTCCAAGCTCGGGTGAACTGCTGGAAGTGTTGAGATGTGAACTGCAGTCCATTATCACTGATCAAAGTTGCAGGTATGCCATGACGATCAA